CTCCCCGCCCCGCCCCCGCGGTTGGTACGCGCCCTCGCGGAGAGCGCAGCTGTGGAGGAAATGGGGTAATAAGCCGGGGCTGCGCTGCGCGGCGCAACAAAGGCCTGCCCGTTCGCGCGCTGCGTCCACAAACGGCGCTGCGCCAAATGAAGTTTCCTGCAGTTGCTCTCTGGACGCAACCGGCGCAGGGCAGTGCAGAGCAGAGCAGATACAAGGCTCCCTTCGGCGAGGTATCAGCCACCGCCGGACAGCCAGGAGGACTTTGAATTTGTGGAGCAGAACGCACTTTTTTATAGTGGCGATGTTGGAATTCGGTTTTAGGTATTTCATGACGGGATTGGAAACGAAAATACTTTTAAAGTGTTTTGGTGGCTGTTGATTGTTCTAGAGCATAAACAATTGAGATGATTTCTCCAAAATTCATGTCCCCTCATCCAGTGATGGGATTCGTGAATGAGAAGGTTAACCCCCCTCCCCCCACACACAGAAACACTGTTGAGAAAACTAAGTAAAAATTCACTCTGTATGAACTTTATATTAAAATCCTCTGGAGCTCGAATTTGCGTTCCCAATACAGACCTGAAATCCTCCCAGTGGCCCCTGGATCTCGCCGATCTCGAAGCCTTGCGAATTTGAAATGAGTATTCCATCCGTTTGGAAGTCTAGTTATTTTACAATTATGAAATTATTCCATGAAAGAAATGTAGAAGATTAATCTTTAAAATGTGATAGAAACAGCTATTTGCCTAGAAAACGGCGCCTAATTTAACATTCTGGTTTATGAATATTTTCAAAATAGAAGATAAATATTATTTGTGTTATATTTCTCCACTTTCACACAAACAAAATTTGAGAAGATAACTCAACAATCAACATATATTCATTGTTGGCAGCCCTTTGACCCAGATCAAGCTGAGGGACGTGACGTGAATTGTTATTGTTGTAAAAACGGCTTCCATTGTCGCTTTCCATTGTGTTAATTGTTATTCCGAACTGCACTTTTTTCACCTTCATTCTCATCAGGATTAATAGTGGATGGACGTGTTTCTCTAAAGTGCCTTTGGATCTAGGTTGTGTGTTTTGTTGCCGACAACGTTCCAAAGGATAACCTATGAATATAAATAATGAAAAAGTTGATTCCAAACGCGTCAGCTACGGAGTAGTCTAGTAAGTGCAGTTGATGTTACACTCCCGGTTAGTGGTGGTGTTCCTATGCCATTTGGAGGCTGAGGTTCTGCACTTCGGCTTGCTTGGAATTTCCCTGGCCATGTGAATGCGGGAGAATTCCTCCTTGAGGTGCCTCTCCTAGAGAGGCACCGCCCAGGCAGGATAAATTCTTAAGTTCACTATCGTCCCAACATGTGAGGTAAGATGTGCCTGTAAGTAAGTGTGAGCAGTGTAAGAAAGGAGGAGAAAGGAAAAGTACGTTGAATGAAAATTCGCGCGCGATCGGTGGCTCTTTTGTCAGGGAAGTGCCCAGGCATTCGCCTGTTATTGATCGAGAAAGCAGGAAAACTACCGATCAGAGCAGCTGACTGCTAGAATTTTCCTCAGACTTGTCGTAATTCCACTAGGACCTCTAGGACCTTCCGATCCGCGTGCTGGAGCGGCTCTGATCGGCCACTCGAATTTCTCTCCAGACTGCTGAATTCCACCCAGCCATGTAGCTGTGGAGAATACACCACCGTCGACACCTGAACTTTAAGACATCCCGATCCATGTTCTGCAGAGGCCACAAAGTAGTCACTGAGCTAGCCCAGAAGTTGACAAAGGGAGGGAGTAGGAGAAAAGGGGCAGAATGAAATGAAAAGACATCCGAATTCTATTCCAGGTAGCAAGCGCTATATTTCATCCGGCACAGAAGCAGTGCGTGGGCGCGCAGGCAGCGCCGCGCGGTGGCGGGTGGTGGCCGAGTCAGGTGGCGGTGCTGGCGGAGAGCGGCGTGGCCGTCAGCGGCTGGCACTGAAGAGCTGCGGGCATAGGACAGCAGCTGAGCTGGGGCACGCGGGGGCGGGGCGCCGCGCCGGCCCTGGCGCTCACCTTACCTGCTTCGCCGTCCTGTCGATGCACGCGCGCAGCTGCGTGCCCGTTTCGCACGCGTCCGTCCCCGTCACTGCCAAACAACAAGCGATCGGTTAGGCTTTGCTTCCTACCCAGCTGTCTACAGGTTGGGACAATTTGACCAAGCTGAATAAGGCTCGGTTACACTTTGCTTCCTACCCAGTTCCCTACAGTTTAGGACAATTTGACTAAACTGAATAAGGCTCGGTTAGTCTTTGCTTCCTACCCAGTTGCCTACAGTTCGGGACAATTTGACTAAACTGGTTACTAAAAAAGTACGGTTGCTATTTTTTTGGTTATTGTTGATTACAGAATAGAATAGGGTAGGTGCTCGAAATCACTGCATCCTCGAAATTACACAGAAGAATTTGAGGTTGGTTGGTTGGTGATTCCGGGCGCATCAATTGCTAAGGGGCATTAGTTCAATTGTAGTGCATGTGTTTTCTCGGGAGCGGGCGGTGCTCTTCTCCCCGAGTATCGCCAGATCTGGCGCTAACCTACCGTCGTCTAGGATGGTATTTTCCCCAACCAGTTATCTCCCACCAGAGGGGCAGTGTCTCAGCCGGGACAAGCTCTAAGCTCCCGACCCGTCTCCCGCCATGTGTAGTAGTGTCGTGCACGGTAGTATAAGTGTGTGTAAGTAAGGGGTGAGGATAGGACAAGGACAACGAAGACGAAGAAAATATCTCGTGTGGTCCATGACCACACGAGGAAAGGTAAAGGAAACTGGGGAAACTTGGAAAGGTACTGCTCCAGCATTCGCCAGGTGTTGAAAGTAGAAATCACGGAAAACTACCGATGAGTGCAGCCGGCCGTTAGTATTCTCCTCCAGACAGCGACAGAACTCGACCTAGCTATGTAGCTAGTGTCGATAATCTGCCACCGTTGGGACCCGGCTTGCGAGGAACTTCAGCTAACTCCCCCGCCGTGGCTCTGTCTCAGTCGTGACGAGTTGTGAACGCTCGATTGGTGAACCGACGTGGAAGTGTGGCGCAGATAAACGTGTAAATTTGTGTGAAATTAAGAGGAAGGAAATGTCAAGGGTGAGGAAGAAAAGATAGCGCGCTGTACGCTACTCAATTATTACTCAACTATTCCGGCATTTACCTGGTATTTAGCACAGCATTCAGGGAATTCGGCCCATTCATTTCTCCTCTGGTTGCTCACAGAGAACACGTCTCTCTTTCGATCCTCAGTTTTAAATTAGCGGAATGTAAAAGAACCCAGGCATGTGCTTGGCCAAATTAAATCTGTCGAGTCCCACCTCATTCAGTTCCCAAAGTCACTTATTAGGAATTGATTCAAGCAAAGAATAAAGTGATTTAACACTCTGGTCAATCCACGTACAATATCCAAGAACCGGGCATTAGACCCATACTCTAAAACGTAATCCTAGGGTGGTACAAAAGCACATAATTTATCGTATTATTGGTAACGGCAACCTTATTATATATTGCACCTTTCAACCGAACAACTCTTTTGCCTACTACTTTATAACTTTAAATTAGGAAAAAACAATTAATATATTTTTAAAAAGAGGAACATTGAATGATTTAAAGAGATGTTGGTGAGGAATAAGTTGTTTTAAACGAATCTCTAGCGTAAATATTTAAGGCAGATTATAAAGAACGATAAATGGAAGTAAACAAACTAGTCCCGGAAGCACAATCTCTTTTCCACACATAATCCGATTTTGCGCGCACTAGTGATTCTCATCAGTGCTAATTACGCGAGAGGGAATCTCTTGCGTCGCTCTCACAGCAATTCATGAACGTCGCCTGCAGTCTGCAATGCGTGCAGATGCTCTGCTCCCGGGAAAAAGACCCTGATGAGTTTAATGCAAAGTTGCGAGATAAGTTAGCCCTTTTAATTTCCGCCTGGTGTAAATTTACGTTCTAACTAGTTTGAGAGAATAAACTAAACTGGTTACTGCAAAAGCACGATTGTTAGTGTTGGGCTCATATATTAGAGTATATGATATAGTAGGAGCTGGAAAACACTATATAATCGCAATAGCAGAGAAGTAAAAGTTTACTTTAGCTTCAAAGGAGAGTAAAATAAATCCAGTGAGTTCTTGTAAACATGCAAAATGTTTTCTTATTATTCTCACAGCCATGTTCATTGCATATTTAAAAATATATTGCGATACACGCCTTTAATTTTAATTCATTGTGTATAGTTTTGATGACTTACAGCATATCTTTGTGAAAAAGTAAGTTACTAACCTTAATTCTTAATTATGTACCTTGACCTTCAAAACAAGAGAAAAGTAACTATCAACATTCGATTTCGAGAAAGAAAAACATGCCAATTTCCCAACTCATCAAACTGAATTTCCCACTCTTTCTGTTTATCACGTATGTTCTGCAAACGAATGTTCTGTTCTCAACGCATCTATCAAAGTGAATAAAAATCTCCCGTAAGTCTATAAAGTGTCCTAGTTTGATTCACATGAATAGCGCAATTAAGCTACGAGTGATTGATTATCAAAGTTGAGTAGATAGGTTCTATAGGGAGGAGCAGGGCGGTGTCACTAACGTGGAGAGCGGGCACGGGGGG